GTACAGATTTAGAGAAGCTGGTATGTAGTTTCAGTTGTCTGTAAGTCTATTAACCTTTAGCCATTTTACTTCTCGCTTTAGAAAAAAGGAGTTGCTCGGTATAGATTTGTAGAAATGAGCTGACATTTTCCTGTCCTTACATTACAACCTGTTAAAAATTCTCGTAAATATGTTTTCAAGGGAGACAAACTTGAATTTACTCAAATCAGAAGCAATTGGTTAAAATTTTTTTCTATCCCTCTTGATATGTTTTCAACAAGGTCCTCATGTTTCTAATCTTGTTAGATATTTTTAAAGACTTTTTCATAGAACCTATCATTTTTTACAGACTCCTGAATTTTTTTTTACATATTAGCCATAAATACTGCTTGTATATTATAAATGATTCTTGAATCATGTAATCCTTTAAATTCAACATCTCTATGAATAGAAAGCAGAAAATGTGTGAAAAAGAACCAATTTATTATCTCTTATGTTGTTTTCAGTGGGTATACGTGTTTGGGTTTTTGTCTATTTTTTTTTTCTTAAGCAGTGAAACAAGCCTAGATAAAGGTCCTACTAAAGAAAAATTTGTGCTTCCCAACAATGATTGAACCTGTATCCCTTTTTCCAAGAGGGAAACCATTCCTATAGTTGCAACATGCTGAACCAATTTGGCCACAAGAGCCCACCTTGATAAAGCAAAGTTAAATTTACCTATTTCAGAAACTCTCATTGAGACTTCTATGAATGTATGTCTGATAACTTCATTTTCATACCCCCTTAAATATTCTGTTGTATAGGTTTCAGCTTCCCATATTATCTCATCAGTCAGCTTTTGGAACTATTGAGGATAGTAAGAATAATTCATTTCTGGGAAATAGTATTTAAAAAAAAAAAAAAAAATTGCTGCATTCCATTTTCTCTAGACCCATCTCAACATTTTCTTCCCAAATAAATTCTTAAGTACACAATTTCCACTTTTACCAAACCCAATCAGAGTTCAGTTTCATACCTTCACACTGCATTTTATAACTTTAGAATCACCTTTTTAGTTCAAATCTTTTACCTTTTCTTCAATCCATTGGTTCTCAATTCCTCAATGAATATAACTCCCTTCATGGCTTGTAACTACCTAAAGGGTATGTCATGCATCTTATGGAGATTGGGATTTTGTTATACCATTAATGAGAAATTTGATACAAACATTACTCGTGTATAATTTCTAACTGGTGGTTTTTATGGAAAGTTATAGTTGTTTAAATGTAAACAAAAAATTGAATAATTTGCATCAGTAATTTTTAGATGAAAAAACATCACAATTTTAAGTCTACCAATAATCATGTAATCGTTGAATTTTAAAAAAAATACTGTTATTTAATAAAGAAGAATCTATTACATTTTTATTTTTTTAATAGGTTCTTATTTCATAGTTTGAAAAAAGCAAGAAATGATATACACAGCACAAGACACATGCTTGAAAGTTAGAGGTTTGACAGGAGGCTTCAGCTGGGTATCTCTCCACATCACTGCATTCAGTATAATGTTTAGAAGATGGCAAATTCAGGTTTTGCTTTTAGGAACATTTTTTTCTTTTTTTCAAATATTTTTGAGTTGGTGAATGCAAAAACCCATAGATACTAAAGGACATCTGTACTTTTAAAACAATTCATTGTATAATTTCTTTAAATTTACAGTTATAAGTTATTTGTTAGTATTTGTGTAAAATAATTCCTGTTTGATTAATTGTTGGTGCCTGTGAACAGAAATAAAAAGGTTTATTCTCAGTCCAAGTTAAATGACCATTCATATTTTATCTAATTTTAAAGAACAGTAGCAGATGGAGTCAGGGATGCTGGAAAGTTCTCAGCCTTACCAAGAAACTCTTCAAAACAAAAAATTCTTATATTTGATCAAATTTTGGGAAGTGGGTGAGGACAATAACTTTTCAGCATCCTCTTATAGTAACAACCAGATTTATTGAACTAGTTTTCTTTAATTGTTCTATTTAAACAAATCAAAATCAAATCCAACCTCAGAAAAAAAAAAGTATACACCCGGCTCACCATCTCCTACACCAATGTGAAAGATCTACATTCCAACTTACCAGAAGTGAAACTTCATCTTCTCAATACCAAACCTGACCTCCTGTTCCTCTCTGAAATTGTATTGATCTATCTATCCCAGTGCAGGAACTTGCAATCCTGGGCTATTCACCTCTAATAGTTGAATATAAACATCAAAATCGCCATGGGCTTGACACCTATATTAAGTACAGGTTCCCATGTGATAGACACCAAAAATGAAGACCCTGATCTCTCATATATATGCTTTCATGTGGCACTTGTCCACAGTACCACTTTCATTTTCACTCTGCATTGTCCCAGGATGACAGGATTTTAATGTTCAACTGAATAGCTGAGATGATTGAAAATATCCTCACTAAATATCCCTCAGCTAGCTTTCATATTTGTGGTAACTTCAATATTCACCACAAAGAGTGGTTAGTCCACTTGAACAAAATCAATGAAGGCAGTTTCTGCCAAAACTTCTCCATCACTTGCAAACTAACACAGATCATTGAAGAACTCACCTGTGTTCCTGATGGAACAGGACATCAGGCAAACCTCTTTGACCTCTTCCTCACATCCTGCTCTAAAATGCTTCACAGAAGTTTTACCAATACTCCCACACTAGATCTAAGTTGATGCCAAACGAAAGACATTTCCTGATGTACCATTCCATAGAATGATTTTCCAGTGCATGAAAACTGAGTGGAACAACTTCAGATCTTATATGACAGAAACTCTTCTCTCCACCTTCTTCAAACATACTGTCTCCAAAACTGCTGCCCTCACCTCAAAATGAATCCTTTCTGGAATGGAAAGTTTTATACCCTAAAAAAAAAAAAAAAAAATCCAACAAAAACCAGCCAACCCTGGTTCACTCCTGAATGTACTGCAGTCATAGCTCACTGTAACTACTACTACAAAGAACAGTGTAGTAGTGCACTTGTATTCAGAACTGCCTGCAATCATGGCAAAAGAGTTTTAGAAAATGCAGTGTAGCTATGCATAAGCAGTCAAGGTCAAAAGCAGCTGACTTGGATCCTGGGACCTCTGAAAGATCTCAACCAAATTCTGAATAGAAATTCATTAGTGCCTACTATTATAAACAGTTCTGAGATCATCTTGTCCTCATCAGATAAGGCAAAGCTTTTCACAGTGACCTTTGCCTCAAAATCAACGAGATGCCAAAGATCATCCCCTTCCTGATTTCCCCATCTCTCACTGAGCACAATCTCGGTAGTATTTTTATCACAGCCCAGAAAGTCTTGACCTTAAGAAGGCTAATGGTTCAAATAAAATCCTAGTGGTTGTTGATAATCCTATTAACCCTGCATCATCTTTCTGAAACTATAATCAACATGAAGGTTGTTGATTACCTTGATAATGCCATCTTAAGCAACAAGCAGTACGAATTTTGATCGCTTTGGTCCACTGCTGATATTCTAACTGCTATTACTCACAGAATCAGTGAGGCACTAAACAACAAATATATTTCAAGGATGAACAGGTTAGATATTTCAAAGGCCTTTGTCAAAGTATGGAATAGAAGGTTACTACACAATTTCTCTAGATATGTAGTCACTGGAAGAATCTTCTCAAGTCCTTCCTAACCTGAAAGTAGTTATTAATAGCCAGTCCTCTGAGGCCCAAGTGATTAACACAACAATCCCCAATGCTCACTTCTCAATCCAACCCTCTTTCTACTTTACATAAAGTATATTCTGATCATTTGTGGATATATATGCTGATGGTTGCACCTCCAAAACTATAGATAACCAGAGCTTGGCAGCTGATCTCCCACCTGATTTTAATAGTTCAGTGTGTGTGTGGGGGGGGAGAAAAACTATCTGTTTACATTCAATATCTTGAAAACCAAACAGGTGACATTCCATTATCACCAAGCAGATCCTAAATTTTCACCAATCTCCCTTAACAAGAGCCAGATCAAGTCTTCACTTTCCAGTTTCAATAGACACAAAATACTTGTTGGTTTGGATTATGAATTATTTCCCACCCTACAACCCCTTTCCCTCAGAACCTCTCATCATTTCCATAGAAAGTGTTCAGACAAACTACTACCCTTTGTTACACCATTTCTAACCTTCATGGTTAAGACCTGTCATGCTACATATATTGTAGCAAACCACCTTTATTCTCTTGATGAGATATGTTCCACTTGAGCATCTTCTTCCCATAAACCACTGCTTTAATTGGTCCCCAAGAGTATGCTTCCCTGATCACTACACTCTTGACCATAAGCTGTGCTTCCCTCTAATCCTCTACCTTGAGTGGCTTTTGGGATTTGTACAGGGGGAACATCATTGTAAAAAAAAAAAATTATCATCACTTATTGTTGTTAATCTTTTATCAATATCTGCCTATTTCTCAGAGATGAGGTATTATGATTACTTTCATTATTTGGACTTTTATCCTCATCTTCATTGCCATATTCACGTTTCAGCCATTGTATGCTCTGGCCTTCTTCAGGTGATTGGAATTTCGAACAAAAAACTTATTTCATCCACTGGGGTAGATCGTTCTAGTTCCACATGCCATGCCTCTTCCAGATGTCTCGGTTATTTCCCTTTAACTCAACTTTCCAAGTTTTGGTTCACCACTGCTGTGGCCTGGTATTGAACTCATAACTCTTTGGGTCTAGTCCTCAAGGACACATTGGCCTCTGGATAAAGACGTTGGTTAAATCCAGTGACTAGACCAAAAGACTTGCGAGTTCAATACCATGGCATATGATAATGCAGGACAAACTAATTTTCTGAAACAAAAGGTCCTAATAAACAGTTTTAAAAATCTTATTAAAATTGTCATTTACATTTGTTGATGTCAAGTAACATTGAGATATTGAATGATTTTTCATTCAAAGAATTGAACAGATGGTGTTTTTAGGAAACAAAACACAATACCATAAGTACATATTTTCTGGTTCTTTTGCAGCAAGGGCCACTTTCAATAGCAAGACTTTCAAATTCATCAGGAAAAGGAAAGTCCCCTTCTAATGATACATTGTTTACACCCCTAATTCTACCTCTCAAAGAATACAAAAATGAAACCACTGAGTTAACCCGTGCCCGCCTACTTTACCAAAGCCGGAAAAGAGGGATGCTGGAAAATGGCCTTCTTCTCAGGTAAAATGAATTTTTTTTTAACTCAGTATAAAACAAAAAATGAATAAATAATAAGAGTAATAACGAAAATGGATAATACAATATTAGGAATGGAATTTTATACACAGCTCTTAAACCTTGGCCTTTTTAGACTGTTATATGCCAATCTCATTTCTTCTATGGGTGTCATCTTTGATTGTCTTTATAGGTATGTCCACTAATTCAGTATATGTAAGGTTTAAAAGGAATTTTTAAAAATAAACAGCTTTCACTGAGATCTAAGATTTAAAATTTACTATTTCCAGTAAGCAAAATACTCTGGTGTATTTCTAACAGAAATTATACTGATTGGAATAAATTTTTTTTTCTCAGTAAAATTGATAAAAATTTCCAATTTTGAATTAATCTGATTTAAAACATACTACTTGTAGCATAAAATATTGTATACAAGCATTTTTTTAACCAAAGGGTCTTGTTCTGACATGTTAATCGATTTTTTGACTGTCAAACATCTTCATAGTTAAGTATGGTAAAGCAGGTGATAAAGTTTATAAGGAAGGACAACCATTAAAATGTGTCCTTTCAATGATAGATTTATCAGTTTGTACAGCTATACTTCAGAAATTTTGCATATAATCACACATACAAAAACAAATCAAAATTCTTTTAAAAATAGTCGGGTTCACCAAATTGTAATAAGCTTTACATTATTAGTAAATATAGTTTTACTTAATAACAATATTTCCTAAGAATTATCACATAATGAATTTTAAAAGATTTAAAAACTTTATAAATTATTAAATTTTTAAAATTTAAAAAAAAAAAAATTCATTTTAAATCAAGATTTTTTTTTCTTAAGACAATATATTGTCTTTAATATAGTGATTTTCCAAGTGTAGCTCAGATGTGGCACAAGGCCGAAAGTATGGAGCACCCAGTGAGGATCGAACTCACTACTCAGTCGTAATTGTTCTAGCGAGACAAGCTCGCTAACCATTACACCACCTCGAGGTGCCCAATTGTCTTTAATATATATATTATTCATAAAAGCAATTAAAAGCTTCTCTAATTAAATCTAAGTTTTATGGCATTTTTTATTTTTCAATTCAAAACAGATTTCTGGTAAGACAGTTCAATTTTGAAAAAAAAAAAAAATTTGAAATTCTTCAGAAAATTCTATTTTAAACTAATATAGTCACTAAAAATTATCATGTTGAATTTCTCAAGTTTGCATAAAATTAAGCAAGAGGGTAAAACACTTGTCTAATAAAAAAAAATTAATTCATTTATGAATAACTCTTAAAAATTTAAATCCAAAAATTTGATTTTTGCAAGAATTTCAAAATTAATGTCTGTCAAGGCAAAAAAGACTAAAACTTGCTATGCTAAAAGTTAGTACCACTGCTGACACAAGAAAAACAAGTTTCTTAATCAAAATTTCTAATGTGCTGAAAAGCAGTAAAAAATTTAATACTTAGATCCTTCCTCTTAATAATAAAGATTTTGACAATAAAACAGTTTTCATTTCATTCTTTTTTCTATTTGTTTATCCTTTTGTTCTGTCTCTTATTCTCACCAATCTTCATTTTCTGTTCATGTTTTTAGTTCAGTTGTACAATTATTTCATATGTAAAAAAAAAAAGGATAAGAAATACAAATATTTTCTATTACATTCTGTTTTTCTTTCTTTTACTCATTTGCAATCAAAAATTTTAATCTATTTTAGTTTGTATGCCTTTCCATTCTTAGCTGCCTTTCATCTTCATATCCAACCAGCAGGATTTTCTCAGTGTCTTTTTTCCTTCATATTTCTTTCTTTCACATGATTTTCTTTTCTACCTTTTCACTCCTCTCTTTTTTTTTTCTCAGTTCCTTCCAATTCCTCTTAGAGAAGATTTTAATCATTGTTTATACAAGTTGTACTTAATTGTGATTTCATTTTCAGTTCTTTTGCAGCCAAACACCTGGATGAATTCAATGAGAAGCAGTTGTCACTCTATGATAAACTCATTAATGAACCAACAAATGATTGGGACATCTATTACTGGATTACTGGTAAGTTTTTTCTTTCTATCACTAATGTATATTCACACACACAGATCAATAAATTCATAACTTCATATGTAGTTACATGCTGAATATTGATCTTAAAATTTCTACTGTATAAGGTTTGATCTTAATATTAGCCCATATCCTCCTAGTTTCAGTTTAAACTAATGCATTCTTTTTCAATATATTGTGACCATTTTACTTAAGGTCTGTTTTTTTTTCCTTCAGGTAAAAATTTGGACATTTTCTAACATATTTAAGTGATTTTTTCACTTTCCAAAATTATAGTTTAGATAGAAAAAAAAAAAAATGGGGGGGCAATTTAAATGGATGTCAAGAATATAAAAGTTAATATTCTCCACTGAAGTGCATTGATAAGGAATAAAAATGTGTAAAATTAACCATTTTTCATTATTTAACTTGTTAATGTACTTATGTACAATCTATTTTTTAAGCCAGACTGGAGTTTTAGCTGTTTAAATTTTTATGTAAATTTCAATAACTTCAATCAAAACATTTATATTTTACAAATTAAAACCAACATTTCAGTTGCTTCTTATTTTTAAAAGAATAAATCTCTTGTTTTTAAAAATGTTTTACTAATATTTTTTTTTTAAAGCTATTCATTATATTTGGAATCAAATTTTAAATAGTTTACATCCTTATAGAAAAAGTTAAAGAGAAAAATACTATGCATGCTTAATTAAGGTTACTTATTTCAAATAACAGTATAAATGGAAAAAAGTAATTGCAGGCTACCAATCCTAATCCTCAGTCTATTTCCTGACCGACAGGCAGCAAAAGGTCTGCTAATTCAGATCCTGTTGCATACTTACTTGTAATATTTTTGCTCTCACCCACAAAACTACATGTTAATCCAGGGTTTTTGAATCCCATATTAATTTCCACTCTCATACCTTTCACTTCACACACTTCAATGAATTTTGAGATTGGATCCAGGCTATACTTAAGCAAAAAGAAATATAAATTAACTAGATATTGTTTTTTCTTTTGTAAACTCTTATTTACACAAACTTGTGTCCCTGTGATGGATTTTAGATCATTCTTCCCACAAAAAAGTTAACACGGCTCACACCAATATGTACTGTGGGTATTCATTATTATTATAATTTTATATCTTGTACTGAATATTGTATTGAAGCTTTTTGTTGTTTACATTCAAAATTTAAAAAAAAAAAAGGAAAAAAAGCCTCTTGGTTATATTTGGATTTAAAGGACTTTCACCATTAATATACAACCTCCAATTTCTCTCAAATTCAGGGATTATTCTGTAAAAATATTTTTTCCTTTGGTATATTAAGAGTATTGTACAAAATTTAATATAAATCCACTCTCTGAATTTCTGGGATGAGGAGTTACTTATATTCATACTATTGTCTTCATCTCTGTTGTTAACACATTTTGGTTGTTGTATGTTTCTCTAAGTAACCTACAGGGAATTCTGAACTGAACCTTCTTGGGCTCACATTTTCCACTATGAAATGGAGTGATTATATTGAATCAATTGCTAGGAAAGTTGGTTCACTATGTTGTGCCAGATTAATAAGTTTACCATTCATCTGTGCATTGAATGCTTGTGCTTTAACTGGTCTGGGGCTTCTAAACTCCATCCTCCACATCTTATTTTCATGGCAACTTTTCTGATGAGCTTTCTTTCTTAGTACCTGTACTACATGAATTTAAATGTGCTACTAGATTGTCAACTCGGTCTCCCTATTTTACTGTTAAACTAGCTGTTCTATTCAAATAGTTTTTCTCACACTTCTAGCCTGTGGAACTCCCTTCCAATTTTTTTGCTTCCCTGCCACCTATAATCTTCAAAAATTTAAATAGCTATCTTTTGTCTTTGTGAAACATTTTTTTTTTATTGTCCTTTTTCTCGCTATAAAGTTCTCTCGTCCTAGTAGCATTATTGCTTTGCTTGAAATGATTTATACTAATATAAATAAAAAAGGTTTTATTTCATCTACAGGAGTAGACAGTTCTTGTTCTACTGCCCATGTCTAGTTCTTTTTAGTACCACCCAGTTATTTCCACTGAGTCCCAAAGATTGAACTTAGTTTGTGAATTTGGTGACATAGTAATTCTTAACTCTTTAATCCACTAGGTTATTGTCCCATTGGACAATTCTGTGGTGAACTAGATATAGATAGTGGAATAAGAACAGTCTATCCCTGTAGATTAAATAAAGGGCTCAGTTCAAAATTCAAGGTAGAATAACCAGATTGATATACACCTGATGAAAGTCAAAAGACAACAGCCAAACTGTGATAACCATAGTCTAAATGTAAATACAAAGCAGTTCTTTGAATATTTTACTTTAGATCAATAACCTTCATAACTTATACAAAATATTTTTATTGCTTGATAATAAAAGTTTTTTTGTTGTCTCAGGTGCACAGCCTACCCCAGAGTATTTGGACAATGAGGTCATGAAAATGTTAAAAGAGTTTGTGAAAAATGAGAACCGTACTAGCAGACTCACACAGCCTGATCTCTAACCTGGAATTCAAGAAGCAATAACTAAAAGAAAGAATGCAGTTAGCTAATCCCCAGATGATGGCAAAGAAGAGTTTTACAACTGATTTATCATTTAATAAATATGCATTTATTTAACTATTATTTTTTTTTTTTATTATTAAAGTTGATAGATTTAAATTTGGTTAAGCAAACAATTTATTTTATTAATTGGATTTGATAAAAAGTTTAACTTTTATTTATAATGGTATTAAAATATAGTGTGACAAGAAAAAAAGGAAAGTCTAATTTCTAAGCAAAACCAATCTGTAGCAAGGGTGAAACTATTTTTGTGAAAAGATTTTGCCAATTATTTCATCAGCCATATTCATACTAATGTGCATACCACTAGGTGCTATTTTATTTTCCTTATGGTTATAATTACCCCTTTCATAAAAGAATTTTCTTTTTAAGTTCAACTTTGAAGTTTTAGTTTTGATTTCACAATGTTAAATTGAATAACTTGCTTCACAATTGAAATAAATTACATATTTTCCCCACTAGCATCAATGTTCAGACCTGATAAAATATCAAAATTTTGAATGCTGGTTTTCAGAGTGCACCCAATGCCTGCTTTGAAGCAGGAGATAACACAAAAATCACAACTCCCATTAACCTTTATTACAGACTAAGCTGATCAAATATTACAAGTTGCTTTGCAAAGCAGATCTTATTTTCATTTAAATGTAAGATATCACTTAACAAATTAATATTATATGTGGATTTATTCAGACTAGTACCCTTATCTTGGTTATTATCAATATAGTTCAGAGAAGATCTTTTATTAGTTAATTCATTCTTGTGATACCCTCATCTATTCTTCTGAACCAAAGTTTCAACTCACAATTACCTGTTATTTACTGATACTAAAAAGGATAACTAAAATGAGAAATGTGTTTGTCCTTCAGTAGTGTAACAGTTATCAGCAAGCCAAGTTCAATATTTGGTCAATTCTATTTTATTCATTCTGTACTAATGCTCTTGGCAAAGGTATGCATCTATCTCCCATCTATGAGTTGAATAGCATGGTAGAATGGGCTTTCTTACTATTGTGTGTATATATATATATATATATATATCCCTGTAAGATGAGTACAATGCTAACATTTAATTTAAAAGAGGGCTCAATACAAAGTAAAGCAATATTGATACACATTGAAAACACGACTGCAATTGTGTAGTGATTTTGACATGTTTTCAATGATAAAGTGTGTGTGTGTGTATATATATATATATATATATATATATATTTTAAATGGTGCAGTATAATTCATATTACAAAGAAGTAAAGATAATGTAATTAATGGTGAATTCACTTCACTAACAAATTTCATAAAGCATTAACCTACTAACCACTCACTGAATGATACAATCCTTAAAACACAACAAAAAAAAAATTCATGGAAATTATCGAAACTACTAGCATATCTACGGAACATCTAATCCATTTTACAATTTTTAAAAACAAGGATTGCATCATTCAATGAGTAGTTAGTAGGTTAATGCTTTATTAAATTTGTTAGTGAAGTGAATTCACCATTAATTACATTAACATTGATTTATTCTTTGTACAACTACTTATTGGTCCAATAGGGTGAATATGTTGGGTGCACAGATTTGCATTGGGTAATGCAAAATTGGAAGTGAAGCAATGTTACAGTTATCTAACATTCAAGATTTTGTGTTAATAACTGAAGATTTCAGAACTAAAAAATCTGAATAAATAAATTTATTTAGTAAAATTTCTTAAGACAAAAAGAAGGATCAGACAACATTTTATATATATATATTTTTTAAAAAAAATCTTTATTTTGTAAAATTTGGTGGAAGGGGGGGATAAAAATGTCAGTGGTTCTAACATCTTGGGAATTTTGTGATATGGGAAATGCTTTAATTTTTTTTTCCTCCTCTTTTTACTTGGCAACTGCAAAACCAACTTGGTTATTGTCAAAGTCAAACTCTGTATAATATTTACCAATAAATACATCTCCAAGAATCCACAGGGGACCAGCAGGGGGAGGGATATCTATACCCATGAAACCACTCAAACAAATTGTTTGTCCAGCTTGTGTTACCTGTGAGGAGAGTAGCATCATTATTAATAATAATAAAAGACAAAGCAAACAATATTATTATTTGAGGTTTTAAGGCTGAAATGAATATTATATATAAATTTGAAGCTTACAGCCATTTTTCACTTAAATATATTCTCTAGCTTTCTAACTCACTTTTGGTTATATTACTGTTTGAATGTAATTATCAGGTGAAAAGCTTCATATATTTACATATAACATCCAAACCTTTAAGGAGGAAGGGATGAAAATGGGTGGTGAGGGAAACCAACAAGCAAAATCAAGATAGCATTTGGACACAAATATAATTTAACTCAAAAGCAAATCTTAAAAAAAAATATTCAAGCAATTTTCTTTGATATTTTTCAAGTAAAATTAAGAAAAATTTAAATGATCCAAACTGTTTAAGCAATATGATGCAACATTTCCATTTAGCAGTTTAAAATATTTCAAATATTTTCAATTTGTCTGCTTCAGAAAAAAGAAAAGCATACGCCAAAATGAACAAACACTTTTTTAAACCAGTGGTTTCCAAACAGTATGGCAGAAAAAGATAGCAGGTGGGGCAGAATAATTAAAAGATAAAAATTTAGAAACAGTTTCACAAAATTCATATGCCAAAAATATGATTTCAAAATTTAAATGTTATTATGAATTACTTGTAATTGCATGTATAGTTATAAATAATTACTGACCAATTTTATCGGTGATATTTTTGCATTATATCAAGTATTAAGAATATAGTAACTAGGGTCTGCAAATTGGAGGAGAGAGAGTTATCAATGATAATGTTCTGACTTTGAATTCACTGTTATCTCCCTTTAAACCTCCTTTTTTTTTTTTTTTTTTTTTTTTTTTTTTTAAAATCACATAATTTGGTGAGGCACAAGCAAATTTTAATTCCGAAAATGCAGCCCAGAAAAAAAGTTTGAGAACCACTGTTTTAAACCATGACAAATTAAACAATATTTTCTCAGCAACAGTTTGATTTCCAAGGAGCATTTATGCATCAAATTGGCAGAAGCTGATAAGTACAATAACTAAATAAAAAAAAAAAATGCAATCAAGCTTAAAAAATAAAATAAAACAGCCAACATCTGAGCAAACAAAAAAAATGTCATGTTAGTGAAAATAAATGAATCCTTTCTCCAAAATTCCTTTCAAGATGTAAGAAATCTTGACAAGTTTAATTGCAATTTCATAATAATCACTGAATTATTTAAAATAAATTTCCCTTCCAATTATTAAAAAGAAAATAAATATTACTTGTTCCAATCACAATAATTTGTGTAAATATTTTGACTTACTTCATTTTAACTTTAAACAAAAAATCTATTTGAATTTTATCAAATACACTATATAATTGTGTAAGATAATCACAAATTTAACTCAACAGAAAAAGATTTTCAGTGGTCAGGAGGTTAGTTTTTAATTATCGACATTTATCTTGTAAATATTTATCATATTACTGATATATGCACATCATATAACAAGAAATTGGTCATCTCCACTTTAGTAAACTGTTTGAAGACAGATGGTAAGGCTCTTTGTTGCTAAGCCTATGTTGTTATTACTAATCATTTTAAGTAGATTTTTTTGTGTGTGCATGTTAACACACTTGATTTTCTTTCTTTTTTTTACTGAGAAGGAGGTAGTTTTTCCTCCTATCTTATTTAATTGAACTATTTAGAAAAGGGATTTAAAGAAATATCTATTTCTCTATGTGATATGACCTTAAACTTCCCCTTTTCATACTAAAAGTAAAAAATAATGACTCCTAACTCCACCAATGAAACAATACCCAAGTTTCTACAGTGTAAGGCATAATCCAGTCAGTGCTACTTTGTGCAACCCTCAAATATTATAGGACCATTTGCTGATATTTGGTATGATTAAGATCCTTTTACTTTATTATTATTATTATTTACCAATTGTTCATATTTCAAGAATTAAAAATAAAGAAATATAAACAATTAGGATGGCAGTTATTTCTTCTGTAAATACCAAATTCAAAATTTGTATCCTCTAAAGGTTTAGTTTTAACTGGATTAAATGTTGTAAAATACGAAATTCTGTTTGTAAGCTTAATACATTTTTTTCTTAGTATTTTCAGAATTCATTAAATGTAAAAATTATTTGGAAGGAAGGGAGGAATATGCCTTTAACACTGAAGAATTACATTTTTTAAAACTTTAGCTCAAAGAACAATGACAAAAACAAACAAATTGGTTACCAAAACAGTTAAAAATAATTAAATAAATAAAACAAGAATAATATCACTTCTTTGCTTTCTGCTCTTTTATAGAGAGATAAAAGAGTCAACATTTGGATTACGGAAATGTCTGGATATTTAGGATAAAATTGGTGATATTCTTGTAAAAAGAGGAAAAATAAAAGTTGCTACTAAAAATGCAACCAACATGTTTTAGAAGGCTAAGGTTACAAAAATTCACTTGGGATCTTCCTTAATATTTTTCCTTTTTTTTTTTTTTTTTTTTAATATACTAAGATTTGGGATGATATGCATTTGCAAATAACAGGACTTCATGCAAATATAAATTTATTTTGGCTAATCTATAAAGCAAAACCGTATGGACACATGCAATTTAATTTTTGCTATTAATAAATCATGCAGATCTTGTTAAGAGATTTTTTTAAAAAAATATTCAAATTGAGCAATTTGTGTTTGCACTGATTAAACACAAAATGCATCAACAAGCTCAGATCATCCCAGCTGCAGTTGCAAAATGGAAAGAAAAAGATAAGAAAAAGTATAAAAGCAGGCCAAGGTTATTTTTCAGTATTTCCCAGCTCAAAGCACAATTGCTGTTTTTAACTATAAATGTTTCTCTTGATTCTTCCAGTATCTTACCAATATATTAAATAGTTAAATTTTGGAAAGAATTTGCCAAAATATCCATCTTAAATATCTGGTATTGCACTAAGATATCAATTTTTAACTCCATAGAAAAGTTTATATTTTGCTGCTATAAAATAATGGTAGATTTAACTTAGAAAATGGTGATGCACATCATGAATATTCTGCAATAATCCTTGACAGAATATTGCAAAAGAGAATTACTGACAAAGAATATATTGGAATGTGATTAAATTAAATCTTTAATAGATATTGCATACATTTAAATGCTCATTTCAATGTCATCGATGACAAATTTCAACTGTTGCTGCAAAAAATACTCTTTAGTTATACTTAAAATTGATAGTTTCATGCAATAGTAAGATGTTCTTTTATTTTTTCCAGTTTTATAAACTGAAAGTATAAGCTAATAGAAGATAGGTATTTACTAAGCTTAGCTTAGTCTGGCACAATAAATATTGTTCACCTAGTGAAGATCATACTCATTTCGTTTCCATAGCATATTCTGCAAGACTATAAGCGCCACAGTAAGATGCTTAAAAGCTAGTGCAAAATCATTTTATGATTTATCCAATATTGTAATTTTAAATACTCTACCAGCTTTACAGATAGATCAGGTAGAACAGTGACAAATTCAGAGATTAGCTCTGTATTAAGAGATAAAATATTGGATTAGTTAATGCTCTTATATACATATACTTTCTGAGCAAGGAAATATGACAATGGCTTGAGAAAGAAGAAAGAAAGAAAGAAAAACTATTTTGCTAGCAGGCTCTGCTGAACATAATAGAAAATATATTTTTGGTGGTTTTTAGTTTGTTTTTTTGTTTTTTTTCTTCTAATTTTCAGTTTAGGATCTGGTTGTAGCAAATCCCACCCGGTTATTTCCCAAATCAAATTCAGTATAGTTTGGTCCAAGAAAGACATCCCCCAGGATCCACAGAGGACCAGCTGGTTCAGGAATATCAATTCCCATGAATCCACTCATACAGACAGTTTTGTTCATGCTGTTAACCTGAAATATTTAACAAATGAAGAATTGTTAAAAGGTACTCTGAAAGAGAAAAGATTTTTATTTTTTTCATATTTTGGGTTTCCTTAACCCAAGAGATTAAATTAATTTAGTTTTGGACTTAGTATAGGAAAAGTTAATTTGAAAATATTTTCTGATATAAATATTTTAATACATTTATGCTAGAGATGTCATTATCACATACTTTTCCATGTTTTAGGTGTTTAATTTTTTTTTTATATATTCATTACAATTTCAATAAAGCATCAAGTTCTAATTTAATTCACATTGGTTAGGACAAATAATACTTTGAGATTACAGCAATATACACAGGGAAAAATCAAGGGTGGCCTCAATAAATAAGACATTATATAAAACTATAGTCGAAGACATTTAATTGAAATAGATTACAACATAGTTTGAAAATTAGGTTTTAAAAAAGAAAATACAATTATCTTGATACAATAATAAATTTTTGTCTCTGGCTCTAAGAAAAGTATAAATAAATCAAAATGAATGAAAATTATGAAGAGAAAAAAAAAACCCAAAAAAACAAACTTTTGTATGAATTTTATGAGAGAAAAAAAATTGATTACACTTTTTACAATAACACAACCAAATTTGGTAAAGTTACATCCACTTTCTGCAGGATAGAAAAAGCAATTAACCAGACATTTATCATTCAACCAAAATACACATATTCTGTAATTAAAATGATTTTGTCAGTGAGATTATGGGTATGACAAAAAAAAAAAAAAAAAAAAAAATGAAATTATTAAAAAAAGGATAATTTTTTTGTGTTTTAAAATTATTAAAAAAAGGAAAACTTACTGTAAGGACATAGTCACTAGGTTTCAAAGTAAAGGTTTTTCCACCCAACATAAAGTCCACATTTGGCATCTTTGGAATGTCATTACAATCAACAATATACTGGAAAAGAAAGGGAGATATTAAAATCAGTTAATTTTTGTAACTAATTTCAATTGTTTATTACATAACATTTATAAAAAAAAAACAAAAAAAAAACTTCCTCACATACAAAACTAGTATTTTTAATATTCTTACTGAAAACAAATTTTTTTCATAGAGAGAGAGAAAAAAAAATAATTGAATTTAAGTGGAGTAATCTTTTTTACTTTTTAAAAATTATTTTACTTACATGAAACTAGATAACATAAGTTAATTAATAATGAATGACTAAATATAACATTTACAATTTTAATGATGTAAAAAAAAAAAAAAAAAAAAATATAAATCACATATCACTTGCAGTTATATCTTATTTAATTAGTTCTATAAGTCATAACACTGTGTCTTGATTTCTAAAAGGCTAATTTTTTTTCAAAAGTACATTGGCTTTTTGTTTTAAATTAAAAATCAAATCAATACCAGAAGTTCCATTAGTAAGTAGGATAATTCATTAAAACTTTAATCTTAGTCTAAATTTAACTTGTAAGGCTATTGGCTAAAACAAAATAAAAACAACAAAGACAAGGATAAAAAAAAAGAATTTTATGAAATAATGAAGATTAATGATAATGTTTATTGTTCAGTTTTGATAAAAATTTGACTTTTTTTCCCCAAAATTCAAACAGATTAAATCAGTATGTTCTTCATTTCATTTCCCATGTCTCACAAGACCTGTCACACCTCTTATGTACCCCAAAGTTTTGAGTAGAATTTTGTTAAATTACTTCTCATTAATTAAATACCATTTTCCTGCATAAGAAATTCTTGTTAATCACTGGAAGTTATTCAAATGTCCAAATTAGCAATAGTGAATATTGCTAATGTTGAGATTTGAATAACTTTAAAACAAATAGAAAAATGTGGTGGATTACCTCTCCTCCAGGAATGAGGTGAGCTCCAATGGCCTCATTGAGCATCTTTATTTCTTTAGTAGGTCCAGCAATCAAAGAGGTTCCAGTATCAGCGATGGCCTGACAACCATTTTGACACAAAACTAGGCTACCTACACTGACTCTGAAAACAAAAATATAAAACATTTGTCCAGGCTTTGAAATACTTAAAATCTGAACAGGAAATTCTGGATATATTAATGTGATCAATTTCAGTTTCTGTCTATACTAAATAAAAATATTGATATTTCATTTGGATAAACACTTCCAAAACAAGTACAGAATAAATATTTATAAATCACAAATATATAGGCCACTTGACATTCTATAATAGTCACCAGTCTTTCATATGTTGATTTTGTTAACTGTTCTTATCAAACAGATATGGTAAGCTGAAATTTATCTGGTATATTTATCCAATATCCTGAAAATTTTACCAACATCAGCTGATTAATATTAATTTTATTGAAGACAGACTTGCATAATATGACTATATATAACTGTAATTATGAAAGTGAATACCAGCTTTGATGTATTTATTGAACAAATCTTACTTGTGATATTATGGGTTAAATCTCCAGCTAGTAGGAAGAACTGAGGTAAATACAAATGAATAAAAAAATTCAGTTGCATTCCCCAGTCAGCAAAGAGAAAATTTTGAGTTACTTGCATCTGAAAAGCTTTCTAATAATACAACACAATCATTTTATAGAAGTTTCATATTAAAACAAGTTGACTAACACTGTAAAGAAAAAAAGACATCAATATTTAATTTCTGAATATTAAAACTAAATAACATTCTATTATGCATTGATTAATTAGGATTTCTGTCACCAAGAATTTACAACATAAATGGGCATATCTCAATGTAGTGAATTATTTTGATGATGATATAGAAAGGTGCTATAATGTGATAATCAGTTTCTTCCAAAGCATTATTATTTTTTAGAGAAAGGCCTCAATTCAGAACACTTTATTTGTACCAGAGAAAAGCCAGTACGTGATGCACCTTGTTTTTATTTTTTTTTTTAAGATTTAATTAAAATTACGCATATTTTTTTAAAATAAATATTATCAATTAAAAATATCTGACACTTCAGTAATAGAATACAAATATTTTTAAGTGTACTATGCAAATCAGTTATTAATAAAAGTTCAAAAGAAATTTAAAACTTTATATTAGACAATTTGGCCTCCCATTTTAAATGTCTCATTAAATGGTAGAGAGAAAATGCTGTATATTTATGTTGTAACTCCATTTATGAGCCATGTTGTAATGGAATACAGGTATTTTTATGTTAGTGGATTCATTTTATGCAAGTTTTCTGTAATATAAATTTATATGGATTATGTACCCCAATTTATACAGATTTTTAGGCTCCAAATATGTTTACCAATATTGTATAAATTTCACTTTCAGACTGAAATGATACAATCTTTTTGTTTTTAAACAGAGCAGTAAATATAAAAGAAAGACTATTCAAAATTAAAGCATTAACTTTTGGCATTATGAATTTTTGGTAATTATTTTTTTCCCAACTTCTACCATATTGAAGAGAGAGCTAAAATACCTAAGTTGATTTGTGTCCAGTTATAATATTGCATTGCTAAGTTTGTTTTTTTTTCTATTTCAACTTGTCAAAGTATAATTCTTCTTTTTCAATGTAAAAGAAAACCTTTTATTCCAATTTGAAGACCAGAATATCAAAATGATGACAAATTATCTGGGTAAATCTAAATCTGAAACTGTTTCTCCAAAATAAACTTACTTGTCCATCTTGAATTGCCAATAACCTTTCCTTGTCACAGCCACGTAAGTGAAGTTTCCACTATAATGTTTTGGGTCAGAACCACCAAGGATCAACTCACCACCTTCTTTACCATTTGGATCACTGAAAGAAGAAAATCATTAATTTGTAACAAAACATTCAAGATTAGAGAAATGTGTACTAGTGTTAAAACTAAAAGCTAGAATCTTAAATGCCAATTTCTAAGGTATTCTCCACTTCTTCATCGTTTGGTCTTGTGGCATAGTAATTAACTACTACATATAACCTTTGAGAGATATGCTGAGAAGTTCTCAGCCTGATCATTTTCCCAAAATTTGACCAAATTACCAAACATCAAATTTCTCTCTTTAAAAGGCTTTTTGGTTGGGCCGAGAAATTTTTTAGCATTCTTTCTGTTACAACCCATGAGAGCCGCAACATAAATAAGATAATTCTCGCTGTATTCTATCTGCTGAAATAAGTTTCTTTTTGTTTCAAAATCTCAACATACATTGGAGCCTCTATCTTTCTATAGTTCCTGGATCTTTGGTGGTATACCTCTGGAAAGAGTTCATAATTTTTGAGAATAGCTAATTTTACTAGGTCATAATCTGCACTATCCTCAACTGAAAGAGCTGCATATGTCTTCTGAGATTTCCCCACATAAGATGGTTTGCAACAGCATTGGCCAAGTATTTTTCAGCCAGTTCAAATTTATCTGTTTTGCCGAAGGGTGGAAAGTAATCATCTACCTTGTCTTCTTCCAACTGCATTACAAGCCTAATTTGTTTGACCAGGGTGAACTCATTGCCTTGCCTCATTACTTTGCTGGTTATCACCAACTTCCTAAATCTAAACACCTGCTCTACACATGTCATTTCAATTTCTGCTGTAGCAGCTATCCTGACCTTTTTTTTAATTTGATTTGTGCCCGAGACATTGTTCATCGATAAGAAACTGGCTTAATGTTTCTTCCTCAAATATACTGTTATCTACTATGTGGTCTACTATCATCCTAACCAGACTCAACTTTCTTATTGCCTTTCTGACATCCAGCTCTAAATGCCTCCCTATATCTAGCACGTCATCTTTTAGCTTAGCTGATCTATGGATAGTTCCCATAAGAAATCTTCTACAACCAACATTTTATCCTGTGGCTTGTCGCTATCGGCCCCCACGAGGATTTTCTCTGAACACCAATTTATGTTATGACCCGCAAAAAAAAAAATAATAATAAAGTGGATCAGTTGCCAAGGACATAACCTGAATTCCACTACAATAATGTATTTCTCTCACAGGATCAAAAATATGTAAATAAGAAAACCAACAGGGATAAAAAAAAGGGTTAATTTTCAGTGTAACACCTGCACTCAGTTCACATTAAAAATTTCCAGAATACTTACATTTATATGTAATTGTATATGCTCTATTCGAATTTGACTTGATAAAATCCACCATTTTGGAGTTATCAATAGTGAAAGTTCATATTCATTCGTGTCGTTGGCAGCAGCCATTACTGGCATCATTAGAATACATTCACTGCAGAAAGGGAAACGTGGAAGACTACGGAAATTTGTCTCAGTTACTGTGCATGAGAACTATTTACGTAGATATGCTCAGTTTGCCCAATGATAACTACACTGATAGCTATGCTGCAGTGAATGTATGCAAACAGTGCCAGTAATGGCTGCCTGCGACATGAATGAATCCAAACTTTCATGGTCGATAACTCCAAAACGGTAGATTTGAATGGAGCATGTACTTACATAAATGTAAGTATTCTGGAAATTTTTAATGTGAACTGAGCACGGATGTTACACTGCAAATTAATAAAAAAATGTATGCAGTGTGTGCAATATGAGTATGAGAAAAAGAAACTTAGCTCTTTTTCAGTTGATTGAAATCAAATACATTTTTTCTATTCTTTCTCTCCCCCATTATATCTTTCTCCCTTCCCTTTTCCATTCTTTTCTTTATATAATATTTAACATCTTATTTTCTCATGAAAGTAACTTTTCTATTCTCAGGGTCTTGTTCTTTTTCTATTTACATGTGTAAAAGTGTTCTATTGTTGGGTTTATCACCTTTTCCATTGGCAGTATTCAACCATGAGTGGTTGTCATTTATGTTTCTATGATCCTTTTGCATAGGGTAGATTCCTTTCCATTTGAAAAGGATTTTTTATTGTATTGGTCATCACGGACACCACTGAATTTTGTGTAGGCCCATTTGATCACACAAGTGTTCTCTTAACTGAGAGTTTGTGCGAGTTGGGGATGGAATCCATTCTCTTCATTTTAGTGAATCCATTTGCATGACTATTTCATGGATGTTCCAACTTCCTCAAGTTTCATTGCCACAACTGACTTGTATTTCTTTTGTACACAGTTTTAAATATTTTGCACTGTCCCAATTTTTCAGTGAGCAAATATTTGACTAATATTCCTGGTGCATAATTGATCTGGTAAGGGGAATTTTTTTGTAGATTATTCTAATTCGAAGTGCCACAGATTCTATGTTTCTTATCAGCTGCAGTAATTTACTCGTTCTACTGTAATTAAGATTCAAATATATACAAGGTGCTGCAGAAATACCTCCCACATAGTTGGTAAGACATTAGTGACAATAGTGTCTTCATCGAGGTAAGGAGATAATAAAATAGTATGAGAAGTGACTTCCATAGTTCTGGATCATTGTGTGGCTGGGCCATTAAGAGTGCTTTTTAGGTTTTATAAAGGCCAGTCTCTATAAACATGGCTCAAATGTGTTTAATTTCTTTATTGTTCTTTTAATTTAATGTTGAGCAAATTTTGAATACTATGTTTTGAACCAGAAATATTTTCTCTGATAGGCCTTTCTCAGTTTTCACTTTCAAGTGTATGACAAGCTTCCAGATTGAAAATTTTCATTGGGATCCCCATCCCCTTTTTAAATCATCGGTCTGACAGACTTATCATAAAGAGTCAACATCACCTCAGGTACACTTCTCAATGAAATTTTCTACCTATTTTGATTTTATTCTGATAACAGCAAAATATTTCTTCTTGCCATACATATTTTACTATGCTTGATTTCTATGATGACCATTTATATTTTAATTATCTTGCATTTAATATTTCTGAAACTTATTCCATTCTTAAAAAGAAGAAAAAAAATGTTTTAAAACAAGAAAAATGGAAAATCAAAAGATCACAACCTACCGGTTAAGATAGAAGGAGAAGACAGATTTATCAACAACTTTCTGACTGATCATTGAATAGAAAACAGGCTTTACTTTATCAACAGAAATGGTGTCATAACCCATGCCAAGGATACCATCAAATTTAGCAGCAACAAAGACTAGACCAGGTTGATTGGTGGCCTCAGCAAATGTCTGTCCTTTCACAACAGCGGAGCCGATCTAAGTACCAAAAGAAAAGAAATATTTATATTTTCACAATGTGTGAATATATAATGTTAAGTACCCAATGCCAAATACAGGACTTGGAATATTACTGTAAAGATTTCTGATCTTTAACACTTCCATGACTACCAATTTCATATGCAAGTGCAATTATCAAACAGTGAAGGAAGGAACTATTCACAAATTTGTAAATGGTTCCTTCCTTCACTGCATGACAATTGCACCTACACATGAAACTGATGGTAGCAGAGTAAGAGATTAGATTATATAAGACAAAAGGAAAACTTATCTTAGCTGACATGTTTCATCCTCTGATTGACTTTATAAGGGCAATTGTAAGGATTTTGCAACAAGTATTTATAAACAAAAGTAAAAAATGACATTAGTTTACAAATTTTTAAAATTTAAAAAAACACTTATGAATAAACATCAGGCTAACTGAAAAGTCTAGGTAAATTATCAAAGATGCTGACAGATTAATTCAATATATAATACACGAAAATGAGTAAACATAGTTGAGTTTTTTTTTTTGTTAATGTAATTAATATTTATATAATAGATGGTTATGATTTTCTTTTAATTATTTAATATTTTTATAGCAGTGCATGTTGGCTTGGGAAAGGAGTATTTCTTTCAGGAACTGAGATATTTGCAAAAATCCAGGGTACAGATTTATATTTTGGTAAGATTCAATAGCAGCAGGTACTCAAGAATTTTCTGTCCAAGTAAAATGCATTAGATAAATTGTTGTGTACAAGATTCTTTTTGCATTCATATATATGTTTTTTAAATTTCTGCAGGTTTCTTCTTAATGCATTGTAAGGAATAGTTGTGACAGATTCATATATATATATATATATATATATATATATATATATATATATATATATATATACACACACACACACACACACACACACACACACACACACACAGTGTAACAGCAAAACTACAATTATTAGAATAAGCTTTGAACTGCTGTATCTTAGAAATGATTAAAGATATCTTACTGGAATTCTCCAAGGTTTTTATAACACTATTGGACTACTTTGATCAATAAAAATGTATAATTACTCTCCAAGCTTAACAGAAGAATCGTGATGAAATCAGTGATAAACAGAAAGGACATGTTCATCACTAATTAATCATAACTAAGGATCAGAAGCTCATGAAGGATTAAAATAAAGTTCATTATCTTATTCCGGGGTCATTTTCCAACATATTCAAGATGATCTTTGCCCTCTCTAATTTTCTAATTTTTTGTCCTGGAATAACAAGGTGTCTCACATGTTTCACATAAGATTTCAGTTTCAAGTCTTTCTTCACTGTTCTTTAGACTGTCATAGGTGAAACTACTCTCTTACATGCCAATGTCTTATAGATAAAGTTGGACCTTTTCTAATTGATCACTTTAGCTCTAAGTTGAAATGATAATCCCTCTTGCTGTTGTGACCTCTTGATCCAGTTTTCCTCTCTACTGTTCCCTCTTTTTTAATCTTATTAACTTGATGGTTCTTGAATGGACTTTGAAAATGGAAGCCAGTATGGAATGTTGGTACCATTACTGAAGGCCTGAATGATTTTTTCCTCTCACCATTGCTCAGTTGAGAAGATAGTGGGTCTGACAATGATTTTAACCTGTTCTCTTTCTAGCTGAATAACTCAAAGGGTTTTTCAATGATTCATACAAAAAATGGCATCAAGATAGCTAAACATCTTATCTGAAAACCTGGAAAAAAAGAAACTCAATTAGTTGAGATTTTTTTTTAGATATTAAACATTTTGTGAGATAGACAATTATGTTGTAATACAATTTAGTCAATTTTGCTGTTACACCCAGTGTATATATATATATATATATATATATATATATATATATATGCAGCTTCAGAATTATTATCATTATTGTTGTTATGGATATTTTTTGTTCTGATCATATCTAGAATAGTTTTGGATGTGGTTGTAATTATTTTGATATTGTTACGATTGGATAAATTGTTTTGGATAATTGAAGTTAAGGAGTTAGTAAATAGTATTATATGTCCATTTTATCTGGTTTATTGTTATTAATGCCATCTTTTTGTACCTGTATATTGTGTATATCTTTCTCTTAGCATTGTGCATGAAATAATGAGGATATTGGAGGTTATTGAAAGCATTTTCTATTCATATCTCTTCAGGTAAATATTGGGGGTTGAAGATTCTTAGTGTTCTTAAATAAAATTCTATAATTATTCCAGATTTTATTCTGTTACAGTGGTGAGAATAGAAATTGATAAGTATTTATTATTGTTGATAGATTTTCTGTAAACCTGAAACTGAAGCTTGTTATTAGTTCTATGTAGCAAGATATCTAGAAAGGGTAAAGTATTGTTAGTCTCAGAGTCTATTGTGGGTTTCACATTAAGTTCGTTAACAAGATCGGGTAAAACTATGTCACGTGGATATATTAACAGAGAATTATCTATGTTTCTAAAATAAGAATTTTGTGGCAAAATATTTTGAAAGGACCACTTTCTAGAAATTCTAAAAATAGACAAGTCAAAAAAAAAAAAAAAAAACAATGAGACTACACTTCCTTGCAGATATATAAAAGTTCTGAGAGACATTCATATACATCCCTTTCTGACAAAGGTGGCAGAATTATATATATATATATATATATATATATAAAATTTCATAATCAACAAAAAAAAAATAAAATAAAATGAAGATGACTATAAAAAAAAAAAAAAAAAAAAAAAGGCTATAAAATAGACACAAAGATTTAAACATAAAATAAGAAAATTAAAAATGAAAACAGTTCCTGGTTAAAACTTATCAAACATCACTTAAAAACGCCCATACACTACCCAAAATATATTAGGCAGGCATTCCGATGAGATTCATATCAGGAATACGTAACACCCCCACATAACCTAATCAGCAATGTTAGGCAACCCCCACTCTATGCCTTAATACAATTAATCTTAAATAAGTTACAAAGCAGACAAAAAAAAAAAAATACTTTAGATAAAAAATTTTTTATATACAAATGTTGTTGCAAAATAAAATCTTTATATTTGCCTTGATAAAGTCCATCAGATAATGTTTCCTTTTGTCTTTATTCATATTGTTCTTTTATAGATACATTTTTAATTGTATTTGAAATTATATTACACACACAATAATTACAATAAATAATAAAATTTTCTATTTTTAATTGTTTCATTAATTTTTATACTTATTTTATTCACCATATTTTGTAATAATTTGTTTTTTAACTTTATATTGTTATTATTTTTTTCAATTTTAGTAATTGCATTGCACTGACACCCATCTATTTCAGGAACTGATAGAATGATGGCCCTGAGCAAAAGCTATGGAGATTTTTGGCTGCCTATACATCCCCCTGTATTGCTGGTAGAGTCCAGAGTAAAAGACTAACCAATACAGTTTAGTACTAGTGATGCTGGAAGGCGATTGCAATATATCATCAACAATATTAACACATTCACTGTGGATCTTTGTGTAGGGGTTTTCCTTAGCTTTCTCTCCAAATTGAATTCAAACTCCTACTGCCTTATGGGTATATTTAGAGAGAAGAAACACTGAATTCAATGTTTCTTCTTCTAGACTGGCTACCACCCAAGACAAAAGAAAAACCAATCTGCCCTGTAATTAAAGCCATTGCTGAAGCAAAATAGGTTCATGTCTTTTCCAAAGGAATTAGTGCAAAGGGAATTTGAACTCAGCATGCTGATTCCACTTTCTGTGATCATAAGCATTATACTACCCTTGCAGTATCCATTAAGAAAGATTGATAGGATTATTTACATATGGACTTTTATCAAAGATCAGTGCACTCTGTGAAAAGAGTGTTAAGTTCAAAGACAAGATTCCTTACAAAACTAAGATGTGCCTAAAGTTTTACTTACATAGCATATTTTTAAAATAAATAAAATCTCAAACTTAATGGACAAGTCGCATTACCAGCAGCTCTGAAGACAAAATGAGAGTAAAAATAAAATCATTTGTCAATTCATATCAACTGGAATGTTCTTGTTCTCCCAAAGTTCAGAAAAGCTTTATCACTCATTGCAAATTTGAAATTCCCATAACTGGCTGTGAAATAAGTTAACAGGTAATTAAATTTCTAATTCTGTCCATCTGGCATGAGATTTACTACTTTGAAATAATCCTTTTAAATGCCATCATTCTCTTGGTGATTAATCAGATCACATTTTGAGGATTTATCTATTACATCTTGGAAAAGATTCAGCTTTTAAAAGGAATTCAAAACATCTCTCAGACAACTTATTAACTTTAAGAATTATCCTAAATAGATGCAAACAACTTAAATACATGCATTTTCTCATAATACAACACGTCATAATTAAAACTGTTCTTTTTCATGCAAACAGTTTCAATTGTTTTCATCACGACAAGTTAGACAGCTTTAATGTTCAAACTGAGCTTTTGATCTTAGGAACAAAATTTGATGGAAAGATCCTCTGTTGACAAGTAAAATAACTTCTTCAATAAAGAGTTTATCAAGTAAGACATTCATTTTGAAATAATTTAAGTATTCTTCTTATAGTTTTTATTTGTTTCTTAATGATATGGATTTACCCATTTCCAGAATGAAGTTAGGATATTAGAGCAGATACACTGGATAAATAGTCCCGAAAATAAAATGGTTTAAAAGTTCAAAATATACAAGTGTACTACTCATCTTTTGTTCATTCATATTTATACCTATAGATACTGTACTGCCACTGCCCCCACCTTATTATTTATTCTTGTCACTGTGCAATGCACAATGAAATTGGACAGCAGTCCTCCTCATGTGCCCAAAAGAAACATACATAAAACACAGCATAGAATGAAGAAATGTTTAAAATACACCGAAAACTATCAGCGTGCAACAGCATTCATTTTACACAAAGCCTAAGGATAAGAGCTGTCCAAGTAGTGTGTGTGTGTGTGTGTGTGTGTGTGTGTGTATATGTGTGTACAGAGAGAGAGAAGGCTTGCTAGATTATTTTATCAGTTTTAGCTACAAGTTTTTTTTGTTTTTTTAGGTGGTGAAACAAAGGTATTTTATTCATTTTCTTTCAAACCTTTAAGTTGTTTATTGGTATTTTAGTAATGCAGATTTTAGAAGTTATTAAATCTAACATTATGTCAGTAATTTTTAAATTTCCAGTGTTGTCCATTTATTCATTGTACTGTGGATGTTCAAGCCTTGTGATGCATTTCTTCTCAGTAGTGAACGATAAGCTTAAAAGATTACATGATATTTGTCCTAAAAAGAAAATGTTTTTATTCATTCACAGTTGGGTATTCAGCTAAACAATTTGGTTTCATGAAACAATATTGTACAGATGTAGTCTTTTGCTGCTTTCAATTTGGATGTATGAAATCTGAGGTTGATATTTTTACAACAAGCACATTGGCAGAGAGAATTATAAGGTATTATAGAGAGAACAGAACATAGGCCACATGAGAAAACCAGAAATACTCAGGGATTAATCTAACTTTAGTGTCTTTACATACATACACTATTAATTCATTCAAGGGCCACAAACAGTAAAGGGTTACCGAGTGAGATTGTTCTAAGGGATGCAGAAGGAAGAAATAAGTGCACATTATGAGGACATGTAGAATAGATATAGGTTGACCCTGGACTTGAAAAACCAAGATTGTAGTTGTCTGGGAAGCATCCTCTTGGGTGATTGTTCCACAAAGTAACAGTTCTAAAGAAGGATCTGTTTGAGTGGAATTTGCTCCTTATCAAAAGAACCTTATGAAGGGAATGGGGAGGAGTTGCAACCATGAACAAAGCAAGGTCCTAGCTGTTATGGTCTGAGCTGGTGGGAGAATGGAATATAGCTATCATAGTAAGAGCGATAAAGTAGCAAGAGGCCAGTATGGGTTGCAAGGTGGAGAATAAATCACCATCCACAAGGCTGCATAATTGCTTTTGATCTCTGTTGAAACAGAACAATGAAGACTAAATAGCACCAGCCCAAATATGGCATCAATACTCCATTCTTTGTCTGATATGATTCTTCTTAGGTTAGAGCAATTCAAGGAACTGATCATTCTTCCAGCATCTTTTGTGATGACATGAATATACACGTTCCATTTGAGATTGGGAGTGAGCTTTAGACCCAGTAGTCATACAAGCCAAGGAGCCTCTTTGAGGGTATGACCCCCTCATTAGAATTGGTGCAAGTTCAGGGTCTGCTGGTGATGAAATATTACTAGCTTTGTTTTGCAAGTAGTGAATGATACCAACCAGTCTGTTCCCATTGAGTTGTGAGAATTAGGTTAGAGGAGAGATGAAAATGGTTGTCCAAAGAATGAAAGAATGTTCAGAGAGTAAGGTGCCTCCCAGCCAAGTTGCTGTATGGTATCCCTGGCCACTTGAGCATTGTCATGGAAGAACAGTAGACTCTTGCAAGTAACCAATGCTGGGTCCTTCTGCTTCAGTGCCTGTTGCACAGGTTTCAACTGCTGCAAATACAGGTCCGCAGTGATGGTTTGGCTCATGGTAGCAGCTTATAATGAACCACTTGTTGACTAATCCACCAGATACAGAGCATGATCTTGTGTGGGTGTAGAGGTGGACTTGTGGTGTGAGGCAGTGGATCCCATGATGACAACCAATGTCTGACGTCCTTGGGAATGTCATACAGGACCCACTTTTTGTAACTGGTGATCACCATCAAATATGCGTATCTTGCAGTGCTGAGAAAGGAATGAGAAAGTCTGTCATTCATTGTTGCTTGTTGGCTTCTGACAGTGGGTTGGGTGCCCACTTGCTCAACTTGTACACCTTCCATATGCAGTGCAGGTGAAGTCTGACTATTTCATCAGAAACCTGAGAGTATTCAGCAAGTGCACCACAGGTTTAGCTGTTGTCCTCCTCTATGGCCACCTTCAGGGCCTCAAAATCCAGGACCTATGGCCAACCACTGCAGGGTTCCTCACAAAGAGCCAGATCTCCTGACATGAACTTCTGAAACCAATGTTTGGTGGTGCATTCATAGTAACATCCCCAAAGCCTTCAGCAAAATTGATGCAGCTGTAGATAAACCCACTTTAAAGTCAAAGCAGACAACCCCAAATGAGCTGCTTTGACACTGCCAGGTTTCCTCACTGCTGCTCAAGCTATGACTGCTGTGTGTGCACAACACACCTACATTGGACAAGAGCAATGCCCTCACCACTTTCCCAGCATGTGACTCACTCATTTGTGAATCAGTGATCACTTTTTTTCCACATAATGTAAAAAACAGAAAGGACCTTATAGATTTACCAAGGATCTGAGAATGTTCTTAGGCAGATTGTTAATATAAAGCAGAAAGAGGGTAAGACTGAAGAAAGAGACTTGGGATACACCAGCATTGATTTCATGTGCCTCAAAGGACTGGTCATTAACAAAGACCTTCATACAGGAAGGACTTGATAACTGGGCGGCAATTTTGTGTAGCAATGCTACACCTTGTCACAGGTCTGAGATGTTTAGGGCAATCACTCACAATGTTTTTTATTATCAATCATTTCACTGATTCTATGCATAAAAATAAAGACATCACCAGTTGAGCTAGAAGGACAAAAACCACATTGTTTGTCACTCAGAAGTTTGCTTTTGTGGAGGTATTCAATAACTTTTTTATTAATCATAGCTTCAAAATGATTTCTAATGACACCAAGTAGGCTGATGGAGTGATATTATGAAGGGGATGTGGACTCACCTGTGTTGTTCTACACAGTAGACACCTTTCATAGGCTTGAAAAATATCACTTCTTAAAGGTAGCAACTAAATAGCTTTGTCAAGATTGGAGAAAATTCTGCATCAAGATTCTTGAGATCAACTACAGGGATTTTGTCTGGATCAGTAGGTTTGTAAAGCCGAGGCTTTTGATGTACGACAACATAAAACTAAGAACGTTTTTCAAGCATCATTCTCAACCTTAGTCTACTTTTCAGAAAACAAATTTTTGGCCTACTCACGTCCTCATTCTTACATCAAATATAAATAATATGACATCATTAACTTAAATATTCTTTTCTGTTGTAAATGTTTTAACAATCCAAGTCTCAGGCTTTCCAAACTTTAAAGTGATACTTTGTTTTATTCTTTTAGCCAGTAACGTAGATGCTTCTTATGATGAAAACATATCTATCATGAGAAGATAAATGCTGATATTATTACCACTGCCATCAACATCATTATGCCTAGAGAGTTTGAATTTGGATTCTTTCCTTCACTGATTGCCATCCAAAACTTTTGACTATGCTACCCTCTTATTTAAACCATAGTTGAGGCAGTAAGGAAAGAGAGTGATTCAGGTCTTTTCCAAGAATATTAGTATTAAGACAATGCAACAAACCTTGAACATGAACTTACCTTGCAAATTATGTCTTCCTCACTGACAATCATTACATTATCCACACATGCAAAACTGCTTTAGCCTTTTCCTAATTTCAGGTAAAAATCACTTTTCATAAATTAGCTTTTTTCCATTCTTAATTTAATCATTTAAAAGCTATTTTCTTATTCAATGCAAATAGTTTGCATCTCTGTATCCACAGAAACAGGCTTGTAATATTGAATCCTGCAGAATTATTCTTCACTATTCTAATTGTCATATTAAATCCATTCTGTTTTAAGAGGAAGTCATACAAGAATAAATGACTGATACTCACAGCAACTACATCGGTGCTGAGAAATCCATCCAAGCTGCCAGAACCATATTGGATGTGAAATTCAGTTCCATTGGCCTTGTATGTAGAGGATTTGTCACTGTTGTACTTGTTGTGTAACACTGAAATTTTAAGAGTCAAATTGTTAAAATATTATACTAAATACAACCATAAAACACACACACATTCTAGCAAATGTGGATTAATAATATTCAAATGTGATAGATTTTCTATTAATCTATTTTAAATCAACAGCAATGTCAGAAACATTATGAATATATTTGACTTTCTCTATTCTTACTGCAGTCAGAGTCTGGATAAAAGCATTCTTTCATTAAACATTTTTTTATTCCAATTTGACCATCATAAATGACATCTCATTTGCAAAAAAAAAAAAAAAAAAAAGAACAGAATTGATCTTCACAGAAACTGGGAATCAGAATAATTCAGTGAAGATATTTAACCAGAATTCAAATTGCTTTTTGTTTTAGATTTTTAACAAACAACACTTGTCAGTAATTTAAAAATAAAATAAAATAAAATAAATAAAAAGTTCACTTTACATTATTTTCTGTCTTGTTTTAATTTTGTCCCTAACTTAGGCAACAAACAATACATCAGTTTTCAGTATAAGCCAAATACTAATCTGATACAAAAATGTCAAATCTTAAAAGCCATTTATAGAAAATAAAAAATATTATCAACAAAATGAAATAAAGAACTGTATTAAATATATTTGCTTTGGGTAATTCTTAAGATTTCAAAGAAAGTCAAGTGAGTTCATCTTTTAATGAAAGAGTAATTCTTAAGAGAAAGAAAACATTAGCTGATCATTAAAGCAGCAAAGAAGGGAAAAAAAGAAAAAAAAAAAAAAAAACTGTCCATTTAATGCACTCCATTCGCCTTGGTAATTACAGCCAGGCAACTAAATCACGCAGAAACTGTGGGGAAGACAATTTTAAGAAAAGTGATTAAACCTTATTACACTACAAGTTCATCAAATTCCATTGATACTTGTGGTCAGACAGTCCGAGTCTAGCATAGCCAGTTGGTGCAACACCACTGTATACACAGAACATTCCATCTTTCAGTTTGACTTTTTATTATAATATAATCTATGTCCACTTGAAAATGTAGTAGATAAGTATACAATGCACAACAACTGGGTGTCTTAGTGTGGAGTAATAGTTAATAATCATATGAATGTCAGTTATCAGTTATATCCTGTTAATTTCCCTTTGAAAGTTCTCCATTGCCTTAATCGGGTATTGAACTCACACTCTTTGGGTCCTGTCACTGGCTCTAATGCCTTTATCCACTGTGCCATGTGTCCTTGAGGATCTGTGTATGAATTTCTGGGTATTATAAACCTAATGTATTCAGCACAATTTTTTTTTTTTACCAGTGCTCATATTGCAATTTTTGCCATTATCATTACATGTTTTTACCAAAGCTCATTGCAATTTTTGTTGTTGTTATCGCTTTTCTCTGGCACTCCTTATTACTGGTTCCCATATTGTATTCATTTCTATGCTTGGTCGGCTCAGGAGATTTTTGTGGCCTAGCAAATGTGCTGATTCCTTTCATTGGAAAATTCGTAAAGTTAAGGAATCAGTACATAATGTAAAAGAAAAAAAAAAAAAAAAAAATAACCTACAAAATAGGACCTAATCCCTACAATTAGTAAAAAAGAAACTGATTGCATTTTAAAAATCATCTAATTACATTTCAATTTTTTATGGATAGATGTATCAAAGTTAAGCTTGTCCAGTTCATTTTATTTTATTTTTTTTTAAATGTATCCAGTCCCATTTTTTGAAAAGAAAATGTAAATAAATATTCAATTTAATACCGAAATCCAAGGAATTAGGGAAAATATTGCCTACAAATAAACAAAATGAATGATCATTAAAACAAAAACTGGATACATTTTTAAAATCTTTTACAGGCGTGTGAAATTTAAAGAACTCAGGATATATCTAGTTTATTTATTATACTATTTTATATGAATTCTGTTTATTTTAAGAAAATGCATAAAAACAACAGCCAAGGCAAAATTGATAAGTTTGTAAAAAAAAAAGAAATAAAAAAATAAAAAAAATAAATAAAAATTTAAAAAAATAAAGTTTTAAAATACATCATTAAAAGAAAGTACAAGAAAAAAATTTAAATTGGATAATATTCATTGATGAAACCAGTCCAATTTAAAATTCAAAATTTGATGCGTTAACCCCAACAATTTTGCACAAAATGAAAGCAGTATACTTCCTTTTGGATTGCCATACACCTTGAGTTGTATAGGTACAGAAATATGAGACCAACTGATTATTAAAGGCTTGACATTGCCCTATAAGGAGGTCCAATTTTCATTTAAGGATTGAATTTCTCTCGTGTTTCATCCACTAAAGTTTTCAACTTAGAAAGATTTTTTTTTTTTTTTTGTGAAAGACAACTTTAAACCTTATGGTTAGCCCACCAAATTGACAAGCATCCTTTTTTTCCCCCCTTTAAGATGAGGATTTTGATGTGTAAGAAGACAACTCAAAGTGCAACAAATCTGGGGAAAAAAAACACCACTATAACAATTGTCAATGTTTGAAAATGCTTAAAAACACTGTCCATCATTAAAATAGTGGCATAATTTTTAAGAAACACAGAATAAAACTTAAATCATACATAACAAAGAATTTTATTTTTAGAAAGAGAAAAGATTAAATTTTGTTTTCATACTATATGAATATGACATCTATTTTAGATGTCATTTTCATATAGTATGTAAACAAATTTTAATTGTGTCAAAATTGTCAAATATATCTTGTTTATTTTAAACAAGATATATTTGACAATTTTGACACAATTTCACTGTAAACTAGATTACTTTGGGATATCTACTCATAGCTACCAAATGCAGAATCACACTTTAAAGTGTGAATAACTGTGCCAACATTAAACAGGAAGTCAACCCAGCTGAACTTGGACAAGAAGAAATCATATAAATGCCCAATTTGCGAAGGAGGAAGATAAATTTCATTTTAATCAATCATAAAATTAAGAAAAATGATGCTAGTAATGCCAGCTACATATCTAACCAATTGTACCAACAATCCTGATCAGTTGACTTGCAGTCTCTTGGGGTTTCAGATTGAAATGTAGAGGCTGCTCTTAAAACAGACTCAAAGAAAGAGAACAAAATTCCCATTCTGTATAAACAATTATTGTGTAAAAGTTAAGTTAAAAATCTACACACTGGACAAAGCCAATCCTTACAACTGCAAAAATATCATTTTGTGACATACAAATTTAGAGATACATACATGTTTTTCTTACCAAGTTCAAAGGTTAGAGTCTATAAATCACTTATCTTACCCACCATAGTTAACAAAGTCTATACTTGTATATTAATCAGATAGGTCAAAACAATATATTGACCATTTATCGGACCAGCACATTTTTCTCTGTACTAATAATATGCTCTTCATTTCCAAAAATGCAATCCTATAGATAGTAAACTCAAAAATGATAATCCCAAATATAGAAAATATAATGACAATACCAAATTTATATTTTCCTATTACTGGATACTTACAACATGCAATATCTTTGATTTCACATTTCTTTGATGGCACCCACAAGTTGGATGATCCAGTATCAAAGACAACTTTAAATTTTTGAGGTGGAGTTCCAATGCTAATAACACCATAATATTGAGCCTAAAAGAAAAAATAAATAAAACAACAAGATGAGAAAAATCAAAAAAAATAACGAGAGAAGGAGAGGCAATCAACATTCATTTATTTGCATTCTATATTCTGCCTTCAGGTGCCATTTTTGCAATTTTACAGCAAACAGCAACAATTCAGTTTTAAGATATGTCAACTCATCACATACCACTTCTAAATTATGTACATTGTTACAACAACCCTAAAATGATCAAGATTTGTAAGTGTTTTGCTATTCAGAAAATGCACCAATTCTGAACCCTCTTTACATCCTGGTTCATACAGCACATTTCCTTTTCTCACCAAACTAATGCCAATATAGGAGAATTAAAAACAAGAGTGATAAAAATAAAAATGAAAGCAAAAACTGAACAAGTTAAACATTAGATTTAAATTTAAAGTTGAGTTTTTATGCATCTTTAACATTTTTTATGCAAAACTGTAAGTGGCATTTCTTGTATTAATCTCCTCTGCCTCATATACAGTGTGCGATGGATAATTTGTCATCTAAATCACGCAAAAATGAAAACACAAAAATATTTTGAAATACTAAAGATGACTTCAGAATCTCTTGCAAGACTTCTGGACAGTCTCCTTGTTTAAGTTGGTGAATGCTGCCATAATCCTTGCTTTTGGTTCATCTTTAGTGTTACTAGGAGTTTTTGTTGGCCTCTCAATCAGCTGCACCCCACATATAATAATCAAGGGTGTTGCAATATGGTGAGCCAGGTGGCCATATGTAAGAGGTGATGTGATTGCAGAAATCATCTGACAGCCATGACTGGGTTCTCTTGCTTGTGTGGCATGGTTCAGAGTCCTGTTGTCAGACATAGGGTCTTCCAGCAGCACCTCTCATGACTCAACTCAGCACTATCTCCTCAAGGCACTTGATGTAGGCCACCATGTCGATTCTGAGGCCCTCGCCAACAAATTCGGGAGTTCTTTTCTTATCAGAATGATCAGAGCAAGTTGCCGTACCTTCATAATCACCATTAGATGCCTACAACTCTTTCCAAATCCTCTACCCAATCACTCTGAAATGTTTGTATTGAAGCTTCCAGCATGAATGCCAAGCTGTACAACATGCCGTTTCCAAATTCTGGCAGAGTGAATTGCATCATGGTGCTCTTTTTCTCACAACTGCGACCCTATACTTGTCACTTGATCATATATAATGCACACAAGTCCAATTTCATGGGATGTATATAAAGGTAATGATAGCTGGTGCCAACATAATTTAACAAAGTAAATGCCCGGTCCAGTATGATGGGTATGATAATAGATATCAAACAGGATGGGTGATTCCATTTCTAATATCATTGAGATCTTTGGCATCTTTTGATCTATGGCATCATGTGTGTATCAAGAATATCTGTTTGATGGCATTACTATTCACCAGTTATAGGACAATGGCTAACCACAAGCTTTTACTGGCAGTGACTAGTCATCTGGCTTGAATTATTTGTGGTAATAGACAAGCAATACTGGTGCAAATCACATCTAAATTCAATGCAGGAAGTACCGGACATGTCCAGCAGGTCAGTTAAGTGTTCTTTTAACTGCTATCAGATAAGGGAAGAGAATACTCATCAGAGTGCTCCTGTTAACACCACAACATTGGACACAGTGCATCACCTGGATTCATGAGATCAGAAATTGGACCCTGGAAGACTGGCAACATGTGGCATAGGATGAGGAGTTATGATTACAATAGTGTGTGGGTGTAGTGCAGACCCCATGAATTTAGTGTCAACATAATGGTATGAGGATGTGATCATGAGGCATACATTTGGTCTATTTGTCTACTTAAATACATCAGACTTCATGTACCCCAATTATAAACGAACTATTCCAACAGGATATTGCACCAGGTCATCATTCCTGGATTGCCTAAAATTGGTTTGAGGAGCATTCTGGAGATTTCATGAATGGTGTGGCCACCATGATCAACTACGAAGCTAATTGAGCATATATAGGACATGCTGGAAAGGTCTATTCACAGACAAAATTCCACATTTTCAAATGTCAGGAACTATCAAGATGACATAACTCAAGATATGCCATGTCAAGTTGCAGCACTTTGCTGAATTAGAAGGGATCTTACATGACACACAATACCTATCCCATGACTTTTTTTTTTTTTTTTTTTTAAATCAGGGAAGGGCTTGGAGTATAAACTCTAAATAAAAGTGGATATTTTGAGCATTGGTTCTATATAAAGTGTCATTTTTTTTTTTTTTAGTGTACATTCTGAAATTTTATAAGAATTTCAAGTGCACACTCCTGTAGTGCACAAAAATTTAGAGAAATTTAAAGGGAATGAAAGTGTAGATTATAGAATTGTTCTTTGGGAGAATAGTTTTACATATGAGTATAAGATTGAGTGGAATTCAGAAGTGACTGAAAGCTGACATGAAAGAGAGAGGGAGACTTTTCAGTGAAAATCAAAATAAGGGATAAAGAATAAGAGGGTAAAAGCCCAAGTGTGAATAAATGATAATAAAAACAAGAATTTTTAGTCATATTACTACCAATTGCCACAACAGTTCCAAAACACTTAAAAGTAACAAGTTTAATCCCCAAATCCAAAAGATTTTTACTGCCACCCCTTGTCATATGGAAAGAAATTTTATACGGGAAATAGATATCTGTCCCTAAATACAAAGGAAAATATACTCACGTCAAGATAATTAGAAAGTGGCTCTGGGGTGGGTCCTTTATACTTTTGTTGAAGTTCAACAACCATTTTTCGAGTAATGTTACTGGATCCAGATTCTAATAGGTTTTTTCGTACACTTGTCATTTTGTGGAGTTGGATTCTGTAGAAGCAAAACAAAATTCCATCATGGCTGCTTTTGTTTTATAAAATATTAAACTGGATTTCTACATACAAATATGCCACCAATTTTCCAGTACCCTTAGTTCCAGAAACATGAAATTACACATTTTGCCAGACCAATAGAGGATACATAATTATTTAACACGCCATGTGATTCACTAATTATGCACATAACATCAGAAGCTCAAACATTTCTTATATTATTAAATATTAAATTCTTTGATAAAGAACATACAATTTAGCAGTAAGTACACTATATGCACATTCTTACATAAGTTTGTCTTGAGGATGGGCTGAATAGTTTTCCAGAATAAGAAAAAATTTAGTCTTCCAGTAAGCCTATAGATGTGCAGAAATTTAAACCATTGATTAGATTTTGTTTTTACACATACATTTTTTTTTATTTATTGATTTTTTTAACAATAATAATAATTATTGTTCTTATAGCCATCAACAGGAAAGCACAAAGCAAAAATCTTACAGATACAGAGTTTGCTTGCCTTGAAAAATCACTACTCAAAATCCTGGTTTTTACTTGCATGAACACAGACTACTAGGTCACAGTCTACTTTGAGATTTTAGAAGTTTTTTTTTTTTTCGTTCAAGAGAGCTTAAAATTAAAGTTTGAGTAAATAATGAGATAAACATACTATTTCAATAAAAGAGAAAAAAATGGTTAGGGTGGATATAAGTAAATAAAAGACTTATGACAAAAGTGTTTTACAAATAAATTAACAAAACTATTATATATGCCTAATATAAACCAGACAATATTAACAAACAAGCATATCTCCTTTTTTCTTAACAGAGAGGTGGGGAAAAAATAAAAAAAAATAAAATTAAAAAAAAAAAAATAAATGAAATAAAATAAAATCTTCCCCCCATTTGAAAAAAAAAAAAAAAAAAAAAAAAAAAAAATTAATAATACCACAAATAAGATGCTGAAAAATATTTACAAAACCAAAACATTAAGATAGAGAAAAAAAAAACAAACAATTCTATGAAACAAGTTATACATGAGGCAGAAATAGGCATAACAATTACTGGTGTGGATTTTACAAATAAGTGATCTATACCTGATTCCAGTTGAAATGGGAATTAAGTTTATGTGAAAAGCTGAGATAGCTTGTAGCAATGACCCCACCCACCACTTCTTTGTTAACCACTCTACCACACCTTGTAAAATATTGCCAGAGAATAATTGTCAATTGAAAAGATTTCCTCAATCTAAGAGTTTTTGTTTGCAGACTGATGAAATAAGGAAAGAATTGATGACCAGATTCTGGAGACCAACTTTGCCTGCAGGGTTAGTAGTTATCTGAATTGTTGATCCAACTATCAGTAAGAAGTCCAGGGCATTACCCCATGATTGATGCAATACGTTGTGAATAAGAGTGACACTTGCTAATTCACAGACTGTAGATAAGTAAATCACAACATCAAGGAATTAGAAAGAGTTAACCTGATGAGTGCCAAACTCAGATTAATTCTTCCCAATTCTTTGATAATAAATACATTTTGTGGTGTTGTTTCTAGAAGAAAGAGTCTAGTGCCTGTTCCGAAATCTTGTAACTTGCCTTCTTCATTCCTGAGAGCATTTTAAACAGGTCTGCCTACAGATCAAAAACTTTAATGCAACATTAATGGAGAATATCAACTGGTGGGTGAAACATTCAGGTAGAGGCTCCAAGCCAGGCAGGCTTCTGGTTCACAAGAGGTTATCATGGTATTGGTACACACATACTTGGTAAAAATATATTTTGCCAATTTCAAGATTAGTTTGGTGTATGTCATTCTTTGTTACATTTCCAGCAATCCATTCTATCGATTCATAATGTCTATGTAAAGTAGGTCATTTTTTTTTCAAATGGGGGGGGGGGTATAGAGAAAAAGAAATCAGAAATAGAAAATGGCAGCTATCAGAAAAAGGTTTAACAACTGGTTTCATTGGTATAATTTCCATCCTGTTTTTCTATTTGCTATCATTTTCTGATTTTTACTACTTGAAAAGAAAAGTGATGTCTTCACTTCGTTTCACATGAATAGCACACTTGAAAGGAGATACAGATTATTATTTGTGCTAAGTATTAAAAACAATACTTGGAATAATGATGACTGATCTAAAAATTACACCTATATATACACAAGGAAGTCTATCTATATATCACCACAGGAGATAACATTTTAAAATAGGTACAAAATATTTAAAATGCATGTGGATAAATAGATATAAAATATACACATGCTCATTCCTGGGTGCTTTCAAGCTCTGAACAGGAAATTTTAGGTTTGCCAAAAAACACCAGGATGTAGCTAACATCTCTTGTTTATGATGCAGACAACATATAGATACTGATAAATGGTAGTCAAAAAGCATACAAATACAGAATGAATACATGAACTTCAGACAGTTTATCCATAATTTTGATCTGGATGCACAAATTCTTTGGAAGAATAAATAAAAAATAACAGACTTTTTTTTTTAGCTAAATTAAATTCCACTTATGTTTGTGTGAAAGTGAATGTAATGGCCCTGGCTGAAATTTGAACTTGATGCACTAATCCGAATTTCCACATTAATAACTGCTATGCCCAAATTTAATTGGAAGTGTCTCACTGAGCAATGGATACCATTTCAGAATATTTTCTCCAGTGGTAAAAAACTTTGCAAAGGTGATGCAAATTTTGAGATAACTTCCAAGATAAACTACTGAGACAATAAAAAATAGACTCCAAATTTTCAAGTGATACTGAATTCTCTGGAAGTTATCACTTTTCAGCAGAAAGTACAATATCCAAAATATGCCACTTTTTTTTTTGTGGTCAATGGATGCAAAGAGAAAACTAACTTCAATCATTCTTAAGAGAAAACTTTTAGAGGTGATGTTTGTCCATATGATTGTTAGAAGAGAGACTCTAAATGTCTCCTATTTATTTCAATTGAAAAAATAACAATTACAGGGTTCATAACACTGATGGATAGAGTAAGTTTTCAGCTAAAAAAAAAAAAAAAAATATTTTCTTTACATTTTCACCAAATAAAAACCTGTATTTTGTGGGTTAGCAACTGTGTATGGCCATAAAGAATGTAGGTTGCCACATATCTTATTGTTGCTCCTGCCAAAACATTACCCAACACTAACATCTATTCTTTGGTCTCCATATGCAATTAGTGCACTTCCATGAATGTCAATTGGTACAATTTATTCTGCATAATAGAATTCAATGATAGACTTGTTTGGATATAAATTCATATCAAACAATTTTTCCAGACTGATGCACAGCCTCAAGCTGTAATACAGAAAAAAAAACATGGTGTACCGGTGGGAATGTTCAATGTCTGATTACACACCAACATCTACCGATGACACAGTGGGCCAACCTAATAAATCAAGAGGTATTACTTTTGGAGTGATTTTCATATTTTTTTTCTAGAATATTAAACAGCCCAATGACCTAACTAACTTCTCTCACCTGTCACATTTGTTTGTTTATCTCTACTCATTTCAGAAGTGCTTTACTATATTTTTAATGCAGACCGAATGCTAAAACAAACTTAAAACTATATAAAAGACCTGATTCTCTGTGCCATGCACTGAATGTGTAACTTTACATGCACTCACAGACACATATATATATATATATATATACACACACACACACACGTCTGTTGTGCCTGAGTGACTTACACATGATTGTGCCAATTAATGCATGTATGTGCGCGCGCACACACACACACACACACACACACTTCAAACTCAATCAGCATGAGTAAGATATTGGAATAATACATTGCTCTCCTACTCAGCCTGGACAACCCCTTCCCTAGACTTAATACAAACTTAAAATGTAAGGCAAAAAATAAAAATATTAGATTTTATTGAACTTTTTAGAAATTATCTGGTAATAAATAGAATGTTTTTTAAAACTTAGTTTGTAGATATATTTTTAGTTCTATCATTTAATTAAAATATACATGTACTCATAATTCAAGTGAAACTGACATCTGTGTCAGAAAGGTTAATTTTCTATTCTCTACAGCAATAATCCCTGGCTAACAAGGAAGAGAGTAGAAGCTGGCCTTTCAACTGATATATTTTCTAATAAATGTAGTATTTCAAATAGGCAAACAATTTAGATTTTAAATGCAATTATCTTGCTATCTGGAAAGCAACAAGTACCAAACTAGTTACACATAATAAAAATTTCAGTGTTTGATTAAATTTTTTCTGTCTTCTCACAACTACAGAGGACAGAAAATGACTGAACCTAAGCTTTTCCTTCTGCATTATAATTTATAAGAACCAAATAGCTTTACAACTTGTCAAGCATTTTGCTTGTGAATTAAAATAAATCATTTTTATGTAGTCTCCATGAACTGTTAGTTTCCATCCAGACACCATCGCTCAATAGGTTGACATCTCCTGCTGGTTATTACTAGTTTTACAAACTTTTGGGGTATTCACTTCCGATTAAAGCCCAAGTATCATCTTGTCTTATATTTATACTTCCCATTAGTCTATTGTGTTACAGTTGCAAGTTTTAATTTCCTTTCAACACTGTGGAGGGAAAAACCAAGTCAGTTAGCTTAATTTTATTAATTTAAAATATTTAATACAACTTCAGTTGCTGCAGAAGCTAATGTGTCACATCGCTTCTATAAATGGGCAATCATGGTTCTCCAACATTTCCCCATCCTTTGTAGCTCTTGACACTGTCTTTCTACTATCCCTCCTACTCCCTGCTCTGCCATCCAGTTACACAAGCTTGTTATGTAGGTTACTCACTCTGTCTGTCCCTCTTGCCTTCAGTGTCTTGTGAGTACCAAATTCTGCAAACTCTTCATTATGTGTACGAAAAACTTCAACTGTTTAATTTTAAGTAGAAGTGTTCTTTTTGTTTCTTAAAACTTCCCTGTTGCTCACATGCTTCTTCTGTGATATTGTCCACATTTTTCTGTAAAACCATATTTTTATGTTG